ATCAAACTGTACACTGACTATATACTCTTTCTTTTGACCAGGCGCGATATTGATATTTGACCCTGAAAGAAAAAAAACAGAAAAAGTGCCATGCAGAACCTAAAAAAAAAATTAACTTCAGTGCCGGATGTTGAAGATTGAATAAGAAATGAAAGGGAAGGGGGGGTAAAATGAAATCCTATCAAAGTAGGAACTGCAGTGTGTTTTTCTCCCCGGTTTATTTGATTCACCCCATTATCTGTGAAACAGTTCACTTGAATCATTTTTCATTCGTCAAGTGTGTCACCCAGAAGATACCGGCGAGAGCGCCGACTTTAACTTGAATGAAGAGAAATGTACACAAACAAATCACCCTGATGTCAGTGGTTACCAAGTCAGTGTGGATTGGCGGCCAGATAATCAAATCACCTGTGACACAATCCATGCTTGATCGAATTCAACACTGGTTGTACTTGGGGGACTGCCAAACAAACACACAAATGCCAGACTGGATAGCTACACTGGAGTCAAATCCAGTCAATGTCGCCGCAACACTGGCTCTGCACCTTGGGCAGGATTGGCTTCCAAGGGAATAAGACAACGAAACCACAACAATCAAACTACAGTAATAAATGACATGTACACAATAGGCACAGAACAAACAATCGCCTCCTGACCCTCGCATTCAAAGCATGCGCTTAGAAAATTAGTGGATTTTTTTTACATGCGCTGTGTGACTGCAACTATCAGAAGCTAATGAAAAAAAAACCAGAGGATCACTTGTATGTTACTTGAACACACACACATGTACCGGTTGTTGACATCAAGGTAAAACCAAGTTATGTTGATGATAATGTAATTATGCATGTTTTCTAGTTCTTCAACAACAAAAAAGCTCAAGTTGGGTTGTACCCAATTTCCTGTTTTATTTGACACTGTTATGGTGAATTTTTTAAGCTTTTATGACCACTCCCTTTAAATCCTGCTGGAAACACATACAGCAATACAGTGACTATGGAAGAATATTTCATTCATTTTGGGAGTTCAAAACTATCAGATTTTGTTTTGTACCAAAACGCATGTCAGATTGTAAGATACACATGCAATTTGTGGACTCCTGGATCCTCAATCCAGTGCTTCTTGCTTTTACACTGCCGTTTACTCCTGAATTTTAGACTAGTGGGTTCTCAAACTATTACAGGCCACATAGACGTACTTGTTTTAGTTTACAATGCCTAGTGGCAGCATGACAGAGGAGACTAGCCACTCCTGCATAACAGAGATTATGCCAGACATGTTAACTGATATTTCCACCACCAATTAATCCTAGCCCAGCTTATTTCAAAAGTGTGTGTTTTTCTAGTTCTTAAATTTCCTTTTGTACGGAACTGGTCTGGCAAGTACACACTTCATCTTTACAATTCACAGTTGGTGAGGTGAATTGGATTCTAGGGTTACCGGGTGCCCGAGTACCGGGTGCCCCAGTAACCAACAGTTATGTTAGAGACTGTTCTACATGTAACTTAATGGACCATGTACTGTTACACATATACGTACAAATACATGTAGCATGTGTCCAAAGATTAAGAAAGTTTCTGACAGAAAAAGAAAGGGTTTAATTTGTGGCAATTTTTTTTTTCAAAAGCAGGCCATCACAATGAAATTATGGAATGCTTGAATATACATAAATTTCAAGTTTCGTTGTGTAAATTGTTGATGAGAATGTCTGGTAACACAGAATTGGCAATTTTGCACTTTTCATTCATTCTTTTATTGTGCTATTACACGTATAAGTATATTATATTTTCTGTGCATTCTGGGGTATATTTTCTTCAATGAGTAACTGGGTGCCCATGCTTTGCTATAATGGGGTACCCAAATCCCGACTACACTACAGTACACATAATATGCATAATATTATTTACAGTATCAAGTGAACATCTCCCTTCTCATTATCAACCTTGTCTGGCTGAGCCGATACTTAGATGAGGTCAGTGGCCCCTGCCAAATTACTGGAAATTCTGACAGTAATGCTGCACCCTGGTGGCTGATTATCTAGCTCTTCCACTGCCCACTGCCTCCGAGCACGCACCATTTAATTCATCTCGGGTTACACCCACGCTGGGCGGCAATCGTGTCTTGCATCACAGAAGAGCATGGGAGGGGGCGCCAGATGGGAAAGTCACTTTCACTTCTTTGGCCACTCCTGGTATTCATATTAACAACTGTGAAATGAACTTCCCCTGACAGTAGTGTCATCTGGCTGACGCAGGTGAGGCAGGGAGAGAAACGTGTGCTGTTAGTGTAAATGTCTTAATTGGATGACAGGTTCATCTGCTTTGTCATGTGTCCTTGTCGACTCCACTGTACCAGTATACATATATACCAACTGAACCACACTTACATGAACATGATATGCCAAAACATCACACCATAATGGTGCCGATGCATTACCGTAGACTGATTAAAAAATCACAGAGCGAAATATCATCCAAACACTGATAAAGGTTTAGTGTACGCAATCCTCCCTTCCACTGTAAATGAAATTCTGATGTTATCTGTGGATACAATCTGAGCAGGGCAGGCATTAATCTGGTTGGCCCTCTCCCCCTCTACCCATTAACCCCTACCCTTAAACAGCAGACACCAGGGAACCTGACTGTGTGTATTTTATTTAACAAAAGAAAGAATATCTAGCAACAAAAACAGTTCGTATTTTCTGAATAACAGCTTAAATGTACATGTCCCACATGTACATGTAGGCCTACATGTACATTTACACTGAACATATTCTATTTTACATGTGATATTGTAACTGACTAAAATATGTACGTGTAAGAACACTTATGTCCACAGCCTTGCTTAGCATACATGTATCTATAACCTAACATTTGTATAATGTCAACATCAGAATCATTTCTTTAGCAAGACTATTCTCATCCATTACTATTAAGCAACCTCGATGGCTGTGTAATAACATACCATACATGTACATGTACAACTGATTGAATGGGGAGGACCAAAAAGCCAACTGTCAATAAGTCCAAACAATGAATTACCCTGAGCAATGAAGCGCAGGCACATACATGTACATGTACATGCCACAACCAGATACTCATCACGGTTTATGATACGAAATGACTGAACACAAAGATGTACATGTACGTGTACATGTACATGCACGTGTACAATGAAGGCTCCAGGTAAGTGCATGTCTACAGACCTGTACAAAATACGAACATAGGTATTTAGACATAATGGAAAATGAACGCCGTAATAAAAAGAAACACAAGTTTGTGGACTGCCTCCTCTGTGTATGGTCATTCACAATGTACATGTGCATGTAGATCGCCTACCTCTTTTTTGAGAGGCATCATTACAGGTTCTCTTTTTTTTGTGTTACAAAAGTGTAATTATCACTGTTGAAAAAATGGCGCTATGTGAAAATGTTGACAAACATATAGGCCTAGGCAAAGAAATGCTGGCAAAGTAATTTTCACTGTAAATACTAGACATACATGTACATGTACTTTGCTACATGTGCCGTACCGTACATAACTCCAAACATTTTCAGGTTTATCTTTCAGCACAAAACATCAGCTTTGCATGAAGTACTTCATGTCAAAAAGTTGAGTTTTTCAGTGAAATAAAAAATCTGATGTGAAGTATTAGTGTTTCTCAATTCACAATTCAGAGCTTAAATCTTTTTAATTAGATGTAGTCAATGCTCCAAAATCATTCCTTACAAACACCCACTTTTTACATTAGAATTCTCCTGTGGTAACAACGATAAGTTTAGTTAAAAAGTAAGAAAAAAGGCGAAACCAAGATTCAGACTGAAATTCCACTCCACTTGCTGTAACCACAAGCCCTTAAAGGGGCACCAGACTAAATAGCATCACAGTGATCTGACCTGGTGTTTCCAATCTCATGTCCCAATTTTTATAGATGGATAGATCACAAAACCTCACAATTTGTAAAGCGAAAAGAGAGGACATGGAGAGCCCTCAGGTCACTTGTATCAAGCCCTAGCTGTTGGTTTCGATATGAGATATCCCCAGACAAACCCACATCCTATTCGGAGGGATAATAAATAACTTACTCTTGGGTAGACACTCTGTATCAAATGAGTCACTATGACAACAACCAAAACACTGGCCAAAAAAAGCATTCCTCTGGTAACTTTCGACAAAGTATGCATGTGGGTAGGCCTTCCTTTTTAAACAATTTCTCTTGTTACGAAAGTCAAAACTGAGTGTTGAATTTGTCTCCATGATGTTTTGGTACCCATAATCATCCCTTTCCTCAAAAGCAATTATACATGTACACCTACCAGTACTGGTCCCCCAGGGAGAACAGTTCATTGACAACCAGGGACTATCCCCTCCCCCCTGAAATAAATCAACTATTTTTTTACACAAATATCACAGAGATATTATATAATACTTTCATCATTTGACCAGCCGGAGGCAGGGGCTGTAATATCAGTGCTTTACTGCATTGACATACTGTACATGTATTTTTCCTTGCTGTTTGTGTTACTTAAAATATCAGTACTTCACAAACTAGGCATTAGGAGGCCACACTCTGGACACTGCTACCACTATTTCAGAATAAAAAAAATCATACAAAAATCCCTCACAAAAAGAAATGCACGATCCAAATCTGTTCCAACATTCCTTACTCTTGACCTTTTTCACCTTGCCTCTGAATAATATAATAAATGTAGTCAACAGTGGAAGGTCCTTTTTAAGGAAAAAATGTACACAACACCCCTACAATATAAACTATGCATACATCAAGCAAGAGCCTCAACTTGGCTCTGTTTACTGTGCAGCTTTGACAAACATACAGAGCCCTACTGCAAATTCTGAAATTCAGCCACAGTCCCCCATTACACAATGCTCTTAAAATTCCACTGTTCACACTGGTGACAATGAAGAACAAAAACTGTCCAAAGCAGAGCTTGTGCCATTATATGTACCAGCCAGGATTAAACTGTATATATGAAAATAACTTACCCTTGTGCGTGAGATTGGGTTCTCCGGGTCTAGCCCAGGTGCAATGAACAAGTAGCCACACAGCAGAACCTTCTTGGGTTTCTAGATTTTAAGAAAGGAGATTTAATTTGCGTTAAAGGATTGAAATTTGGCTTAGGAAAGGGGGAAAAAAAATCAGGATTCTGACAACTCTCAGGATTCATAACCGAAGGCTCTCCACAATTCAACTCACCCAACATGTCAGAATAGAGTTTATAATACACAGCAGTATGCCGTGAATCAAATAACTTAAGTTGTCACCACCCGTTATAATTCCTGAATAACCACACAATGGGCTGGAATACATTTAACATTCACCTCTGATTGGTTCACTACAAAAGCAGGTCCAGCCATCTGTAAAGGCCGTCACTGATGCTACCGGCACTTGTGCCTCATGCACTGAATGTCCTACAGTGTAATTTCTGCAAACTCCTACAAAACGAGCTTACTTGTGAGGTGAACTGAACAGGAATGGGCACTGATGCTCCACATCAAAGGAAGCAGTGTGCTTGATTAACATGTTTGAAAAACTCATCCTACATGCATTGGTAATGGCCATTGCTCTACTGATCAACCACAGTGTAAGAAAGCAGTTCTATGTAGATTGATCAAAAAAATTGTGATTTTTGGTATAGTTCATTTAAGTGAATCTACATGTACCACAGCAGAGAGGCTTTGTTGGAACTGAAGGATCCTGGGTATCTAAGCTGCTACTCAACACCATGTACAGATTACATGTATACTGTGGATCTGGATCAATAACACAAGCAAACTCTCATGGTGGAATGTACAGGTTACATGGTGCATGAAATTAACTAATGTGTACACAATGTACTCTTTTGACTGCTACCGATACTGCCGGTCCAGCAGTAACACAGTTACCATGCTGGAATTTGTTGAGGGGGCAGAAGATACTTCCAGGATACACACCCTACCGTATCTCCCACTCTGGAATAGCAAGTCAATTCTGATCAGAACCAGATGGAGTAAATTTAAGCAAGTTTCGGTCACCCTGTTTTGCCTGTCACTGGAGCATACTGGCCAAAACATCCAGTTAGATCAACATCACTCTGCTCTTACTTGAGCTTTATGGTGTATCCTCAACTGCAGTGCAGACCATTTCCCCCTTGTGTACTCCCCATCGCCGCCAAACCTCAAATCCCAATTGCGATATTGACTGCACTTACACAAAACATTTTGAAAGTATCAATTTTTTTTTAAGAAAAGGAAGTGTGATCACCAACGTCAACTGTTACTTTTGTAACAAATACACACGCCTGACTATTTGATCAATGTATCCAACTATTTTTGTCATATTAGTATATCATATTTAAATCATTTCTATTTGACTTAAGTATTTGGGGGAAAAAAACACCACTGGTACATTTAACCTGAAAGAGTAGAAAGGGCCGATCTTTTGACAGCACAGTCATGTTTCATTCCCTTCAAATTACAGGCAGAATGGTTCATAAAAGTTACATTAGAAGCTACAGATCATGTGCTGTACAACCAAGAATTCAAGATCCTTCAGGTAATATTGAACATTCAAATATTTGATCAAACAAAAATTCAATACATGAAACATGCAATATACAGTAAATGTAAGCCAAGCCTGGCCGTAACTGCATATTCACCATAAAAGGGCCCAGTGGGCAGTCACCCATAAAGTAAATGAGCTCATGTTTTGCCTGATTCTGTTCAATGTCATGAATGATTCAGCCTTGCCTTTGTCTACTAGAGACACTGTGTATATATATGCATGTATATGAATGCCACATGTACATGTACATAGGCTTATCCTAAAACAAACAAACGAAATCTGGGAACACTCTTCTGACAATGGCCATGTACTGCTACGGGTGCTTGCATCTGAACAAAGTATTCTTCAAGCATCTTACATTCTGATAAAGTGACAGGACCAAAACCAATCACCTTTAATTTCATTGTACTCATCAATGATTTACAGATTCACCAACATGGGAGAGAATGCACATGTACTGGTAACATCATCTCACCAATGCCCTGCCTGACTTGCTGATGGATACCAACAATGCAACAAGCATGACAATCAAAGTTGAGGCCTAAAAGACAACACAAGACATAACCCACAGTGAGGTCGTGAACCCAGTTTCAACAATAAATCTTGCTACAGTATCCACACTGACATCACGTCCCAGGCAGTTCAATATTCAACACAGGAATACTTCTGCTATTTGTCACAACACAGTGCAGTGTATTTAGTTCTATGGGAATTCCAAATAGATTCTCCACATGTTTCCAGGGAACAGAGATGAATCATATAAATAAATACATGTATACACACATGTACATGTACGGGCTTTGCACATAACAGGGCGTATGAAAAAGCCCATGAATGAATGTACCCGTACAGTTTGTCCCTTTACAATGTACCAGTATATACCTTGATTGGGGGTAGACATTTTGCATACATGTACATGTAAGCAATCAATCAATCCACTTTAGAGGATTTCTATTTCAATCACTTTACACATTACACTTTAACTCCAAATCATGTAACTTGAAAGCCATCGTAGTTAAAACTTGTTTCCTTTCTTCCTCCCCACTTACATGTACTAAAACTGGTTTGTTTTTTTTAATTCAAATGAGTAAATGTACCACAATTATCAAAAAAAAGTACAATGCCCAACCTCCACAGTTACAAGCAAGTTTATTTTTAGCACCGCTTCCTCAGGTTCTCGCAATGTGTTTGCTACTGACGCTATACACCAAATTAGTCATCCTCGAGATTTTAAGCATTTTGGCATCCTGGGGTAGAGGCCATGGTCAAGCCATAAGCCATTTGTTTCAATGCTAGATTACAGTGTTAAACCCTTCCAATTGCCTCTTTGATTAGGGTTATTCAGTTGACATTTTTCCTTCACCCAGTCTCGCCCATACTAAAGCCAGAATGTCCTGGACACCGGTTATTCGGTTAGTTAATGTCTTCAGATCTTAAGTAGGGACTATCCCAAAATATCACGTGGATGTGTACACACAGTGTGTGTGATATGAAAGCCAACAGTATGAGGAACTGAAAGTACTCTTCAAAAGTGCTGTGGCATTGTCACATGCTTTGAAAGAATCCCTGTCATTCTAAATCATCAACACACTGAAATAAAGAAAGCCAAGTGATTTGAACAAAACAAAAATTGAAGGAAATTCAACACACTTAAGACCAAGTAAGGAAGTCACCGACATTACTTTTATAAATCTAAACAACAAACATATATGTACATTGAATGTGGTTGTTACAGTGGAGGAAATTGAAACCATCTGCTTGCATGCCAAAAGGATAATAAAATCATAAAATTGCCTACCCAGTGAATAACCACCAACATTAAATGTAAAAATACAATGAGTTTGTCAAGTTCCATACCTACAGCTTTGTCTGGCGGGCAATTTTAAAGAATTCAATCAAACATCTCAAGTACATACATCTAGGAGTAAAGCAACACTTTACCTAAAAATGCTAGTGTCAATTTAATTGAAACACCAATATGTCGATCAAAAGAAATTCATGATGTGGGCTAAAGTTTCTATGAAAAAATTGGGCTGCGTGACAGTAAATACAATATGATGAGTGACTACGAGCAAATAACTGTAAAACCCTCAGTATATCCACCATTTCAGTGCAGAAATTTAAAGTGAGACAAAATAAAATTTAATTGGGAAAATCTCTTTACTTTGCCAGCAGTTACCCCCAGAACTGTGGGATCCGACGTCTGCTCCTCCAAATGGGGTAGCCAGCAGTCACGGACAATACAAAAGTAAATTTATGTACAAAGCACATCATAAACACTCGGTCTAAACACCCCTAAAATCTTCACCTTAATGCAAGAAAATCAAATGGCAGACCTTTGAAAAACTGCAGAATCGCTTTATCAGAGACCAACTCAACATGCATGTACATCATATTCAAATACAGTACCTACATTAACAATGGTAACAGTCAAACAAAACTGCTTTTAGTTTTTACATGAGGTTGTTTCATTCACAAAAACTGTAAATTGCAAAATAACTGTATTTTTAATAGTACACTACATGCATACAGTACATATCGTCATTACCGGTACATGTACATGTACATGATGTACATAGTAACATACATGTACATGTAGTACATGTAGTACATGTATGATGTAGGCTTAGATGATCAGGATGATTATCTGGTACTAGCCTAACGTTAGAATTAATTTCTTTTCCTTAACAAGTATGTACTATCAGTATCCCTCCTGTTCAAACTCTTTTACATGAATTCTGTATTATAAAGTACTCACATTGCTCCCGTCCCCTCCATCCAAATCGTGGGCCTCCCTGGTCCTGAAGCAGTTCTGGCATTTGGTCTTGTTAAACATGTTCGGCTGGAAATTCTTACACATCGACGTGGCGCGGGTGAGATTGTCCTCCCCCCGCCGCGGAAACCCCATCATTGTGGTGGAAAATGACGGGTTCCCGGGTCTATCAAAATGAACGAGAATCTGCCCAAAATGGGCACTGAAATTTTGTCCAAGAATCCAAGGAGCCGAACTGTAGGCGTCGTGCACATGAAAATCCGCCGATACACCATGTACACACAATGCGCACACGCTTACTTAGCGGATTCCAATCGCACGTTTGCTGCTGAGGTGGTAAGCGGTTGCATGCAGTACAAATACGCATTTAACGCAAGTCGACGGCATTGGCAGAAACCGGTGAAAACTTGCCTCGTTCAGTCGCAGGAAAATCCAACCAAAACTTGCTCCCCAAGTAGATGGGAAGGGCGAACTAGACGCCTAAGCCATGTTTCAACGAGTCGTACATGTCTACTCCACATTTTACGAACGAATACACGGTTTTAAAATCCTGAATTCTCGACATCTCTTGGAGTTCCAAGCTGCCACTGTAACACCACCAGCTCTGGCGCGGCGGCTCTTTCAACGAAAATGCTTAGTCTGGTGTCCGTCTATTTGTTTCGTAGTGCAAATGCTCAAGGCAGCAGTGAGGACGGTGCACCAGACGTACTACAACGAATTTACTCATGCAAATTGTGTCGAGTTAGGCAGACGGAGTGTAACAGCATTTACACGTTATTGATCAATTACACACCAAAAGAGGCGTATCCATATCACCCACGTAAAAAAAATGTACCTGTTGCGTCAAGACTGAATCACACTCACAGGGTGATTTCGACAATCTGCCTTCCCTTACATAAACTGCAAATTTACAAAAGGCAAATTGATACAATATCCAAAGCCAATGGAATTTGTTGGCGATCTTTCTGAAGTAATGCATACTAATGACGTGCATTTTCATGAGATAAATATGACACAGTGAGTGGTTTGGTATTTTTATCTAGGTTTGCGGTGTGAAACAACTGATAACTTTGTAAATAGTTTTCGGAAATTGATTGTTCCTCGCGCGGAAGTTTTCAACCACTGGAATGTCAACCTCTGTCCACCTAGACGACCATCCATATCCGCTTTTTATTTGTCGGAAGCAATCAAATGACTGACAACAAAATTTTGTGTATTTAATTTTCATTTGGGGAAATAAACGTCGTTTTCGCAAGCACAGAAATAGCGTCCTATGAGACCCGGTACCTGTCAAAAGTAATGAACTGTCATTCGAGAGAAAAACACTGTAAATGTATTACTTTAGATTGAATGCCACCAGTGTGCCGTGGGTAATTGTTAAAAAAGCTTTTTTTTTCTGTAGCGCACAAGTTGATGGCAAATTTGTGTTAATTTGTGAATATGTGCCTGGGAAGGGATAAAGTAAAGAGACAAAAAAATAAGGGAACTGGAATTTAAGCCCCACTTTTGGAGTGGGACCCTTTTGTGAGAGCTCAGCAAGGGTGGATCCAGAACCAAATTTAAGGGGGGGGGGCTTGTTTTGAGGTGCAAAATTGTTAAAGTGATATGGCCTATCTGGGGATGGGCTACATTTAAGGGTTTTATTACAGGCTTTAGTAATTTTTGGGGGGCGGTTCTCAGAGGGGGGCATGGCCCAAGTCCCCCCCCCATCCACCCACCCACCCTTGACGGCTAAGATTTACTTTGTGGAGGAATGCTGACATTTGAGAATTAGTTCTATGCCTTTATCTTCAAGCAACTCAATTTGACACGCTGACGTTCCTTTTCAACTCGGCCTATATTGTTGACTAAACAGACCTGATGACAATTTAAAGTCGACTTCAAATCACTTTTGTTCGATGGGTTGTTTGAAATTTACTAAAGCAGTGCGGCGCTTTGTAAGATGCAGTAAATCCACAATTAACTTTGAACATATCGTAAGTTGCTAATCTTGGAGATCAAGAACAAAATTAAAACCCAACCATAAAAGGTACCGGTTAGGAGCGAAGTCTACTTTTATCGTGATCTACGGTATAAGATGTGATGACGAGGCCCAAGGCCGGGCGCATGAAATGGGTGGAGCTTGCGGATTGAGCCCCGCCTCTCCCATATTATTCTTGTTTTTCTTCTCTCATTTCTTTATTTCTGAAAAACGGATGTACAATTTGCACCCAGATCTCAAATCTGAAACTGCTAGCCTCTGATTCAGCCGCAAATCTACTGCAGTTGTGGCACATCGCGAGCCCCCACCCTCTTACTGCTGCTGCGCCCGATGCCAAAGGTTGGCGATTTCAGACGATCATCCGAGGACAGTACTTTGGCACTCGCGACAGGACAAAACTGCAGTTGTAACTCATCTTACGCCCTCTTTTTTTTCCTAGCCAAAGGCACCGATAAAGAAAGGTGACTGCGAATTTTCCACGCCATTTTCAAACCTTCGAATTCGCTGTTCACATATGGAAATGTTTCTAGAAGTGTGCTCTGAGAGATTCTTGTCATCCTTTTCAAAGCCTTGCTTTTTATGTTTCAACTTTTTTCTATAGAAATGACAATTGACAAAATGAAGTTTTGTACAGTACACTTTTATTGTAACCAGGGGCATCATTTTCCGCAGTTTCGTTTTCCTTTCCATCTCCGCCTCCAATCTAAAAAGGATATCTCCGCCCCCATCCTGAGCTGGCTCAGTACTTACACCCGCTTCAAATTCAATGTACGAATAATACAAATCATGTAATTTTGTTCAAACACCAGCGTCGGATAAAGTCTCGTAAAACTGTGTTGAATTGGTGCTATTAGCGGGCTACCCACATCTAGAACAACACCGGACTGGTGTTGTCCAGTATGGATACTGAGTGTGTCAAGTTCACCCTACAGTTTTGAAGTGAGTGGATGATGGGACCACAACTCAGGTTATTTTGGGGGTATCTGAGGAGTAAATACCATGCTCCTAAAAAAAGGAATGGACATACCGAATGTTCAGGAAGATTCTGGAACGATGAAAAGACAAAAAAAATGCCATATGAAACGTGCACGCGAAAATAACAAGAAAATTGTGTCGTGGTGTGATGTTTCAGAGAAGAGCAAGTAGAGCACAATGTATATACGTCACATTTTTCTCCTCCTTTCTGACTTTTCTTTCAAGGAAGGCAGGGTACAAGGAACCCAAGAGAACCCCCTTTTCAGTGAACTCTTCTTAACCCAACCTGCTTTCACTCGAAAGGGAATATTGTTCTCAACCCATACTCTGATTTATTTTGTTGGCTGACACTAACCCGTACAATAGTTGCTTGTAGGCCCTACCGCACGTATTCTGTACCGTACAACTTTTGAACCTCAGAAAATAAGGGTGAACAGTAACTGGTATTTGATGAAACATTTATATCGAAAGCGTCCTTATTTACTTGAACGTTTCATGGGTATTGCCCTGTCTAAGGTATGAACCACCGGAGCGAGAAAATAAAGCAAAGTAGCTGATGATGTTGTGCCTATCGATACCGCTGGCTCATTGCATGCCAGGCCTAGGTAGCGGAATTTATGGCCTTCCCCTCCCCGTCTTGGTGGCGCTATATCAACATGATGAACAAATCTAGAGCCGGTCCAGCGAGTCTGTGTGATCTTGCACACTGATATCTCGATATATCTGCGCACTCGTACTGTCTGGTACCTTGCTCATGTATCACCTTAGGGTAGCAAAAAATTACAGCAAAGATCTAATCACCAGGCGAAGTATCATATTTCCTTTTAATATTTTCATGCTTGTAAGGAAATACCGGTAAATGGCTGTCAAAGTGTATCAGGAAAAACCAGTGAAAACCATGCTAAGATAGGTAAATCCGGGAGAGGTATATACATTTTCTTTAGGGAAAAACAAACCCAACACGATGCCCAGATGAGAGTCGCTAATTGCGAGATATTTGCACGGAATTCGGAATCGAGGGGTGAACGTGATTTTCATCCGCCTACCGTATACGACGCGACCATCGCCGGCTTGCTGAGGCGGGGCGGCTATACATTTTCTTACCGCTTGGACAACTGGTCGATCAGCCGCTGGTGATTTCAACTTGGGGGAAAATGAAGAAATCTTTTTCCTCACAATGGTAAGAATGGATAATAAACAGGATATGATGGACCACTCTCTAGTTTTGTGTACTGTACATTTTGTATGGGTGGCCGAAGAGGGTTGGCATCATTGATTGGGGTTGGTTTTATTTATTACTTTTGAGCTCCGTAAAAATGCCAAACTAATTAGACCCTACTACAAATTGAAACAAGCACCTCATAAATAGCTTTGGAGAGAGTTCCATATAATAATGTACAAGGAAAGACGTCCATATACGGACGCCAGTTATTATTCTCTATAGTACAGGCTTATAGTTATACTTTATAGTAGCTGTCAGAAAGCAAAAACATGTCTAGAAAAGTACAAGTTTGGAGGGAAATACCGAGTCATTTCCTTAGAAAACACTTTCAGACCAGCCTCATGGGCTTGGTGTACTCTCAGAACTGTAAGGTTTATACAAACCTGGCCTTACAGATAACCATGTACAACCCCTCCATGAAAACATTTTGGCAGGGACAGGGAGGTTTTTTCACCTTGTATCCTCTTAACAATTGTGAAATTTTTGAGCATTTTGCCTTGAGCATTGATGTGATAGAAGAGTAAGTTGGCACAATCAAAACGGCTAAAATGTGTGTATGGGAATTTGCACATGGCCATCTGTCAGGTTTGTATAAACCTGACAGTTCTGGAAGTATGTTTCGTGCACAGGGTGTCAAGCGGTGTCTGTATATGTTTCACATAGACATGGAAGTATGATTGACCTATACTCACATGACCTCAGCTGTCATTGGTGATGTGTATGTATGATCCTTTTGTTTTAGTTGTAAATATTGGCATGATTGATTGGATTCGACCAGTCCCATTCACAGTGTCAGCCATTATAGCTATATCATGCTAGACATTTGTGTGTGTACTGTACACACACAGTTTTATCTGATTGTTTTTCCCATCCATCCGTCCACCAATACAAGTGTACAGGTGAGTCATAGTGTGGACCTGTGCTGAGGTCTACACAATGCAGGGCATGAGGGCATTGTGTGGACTTGCACACATCCACACATTGTTCTCCCTTCTCTGAAAAACAGTTTCAGAGGCATTTTGGTGTCAGGGGTATTAGGGTGGCAAAATGAAGAGGAACAGCCCAGGAAATCATCATCAAAAATCCAGCTCGAAGAAGTTATCCTTGTGGGAGAAAAAGGAGCATTTACCTTAACTGCAGGAGAACAAAGGAATGTCCACACTTATTATGTAAAACAAGTGTGTATGCACAATCATTAACATGTGTTGTTTGATTCAGTAACAACTTGTAGTCATGATTCTTAGGCTTTTCAATAATGCGTAGGCCGTTTTTTTGTTTTCCCCTCCAGGTTAATGAACAGTCCTGCCGAGAGAGGCTGCCAATACAAACCCACAGTGGTCGAGCATGTAGCAAACTGCATCACACATGGGGTCTGTATATTACATGTAAAGGATAAATGAAAAGACCATTAGATAGTGGATGGACTCAAACCCACATGTGACTCAAACCCACGATTTCCTGCCCTCCTGCCTTTAAAGTCCTATCAAAGCAAAACTTTTTCCCCTCACAAGCTTATAAAATTGAGCGAACAGAACTAATTACAGTAAGCATAGACTCCTCTTCAGTAATTCTGTTGTCTATTATTTATGCCCTTCTGCCAGGTCTGGATCCTCCCTACCTTCTATGCAGGTAATGACATGATGGAGGCTGCATCAACGGCTGGAGAGAAGGCTAATGCCGTGCTCTTCAGCATGGCACTGCTCAGCGTATTCATAGTTTCAACCACCTTCCACGTGGTCGCTTGGTTTGGCAAACAAGCGTAAGTGCTTATTCAGGGGTGTGGCATGGGAGATAGAAGGAGGGAGTTCCACCTACTCATGCAAATGATAAGCCCCACCCCCAGTCAGTTTATGGCTACAGCTTACTTTTTAGTCACTCAAGTCATTTTGTTCACCTCCAAAACTTGTTTCACATCATTGTGCATTACGGTGGACTGTCTTAATGAAAGTCTGACATTTTGGTGTTATTTCTCTTTATTTATAATAATTTTGTACTCTCATGACATAACCTGGGGTTAAAGTTAAAAGGGACACCAGGGGTGCACACAGATTTTCAAGAAGGCACCGAAAGAAAACTTAACTATGACTTGTGTATAGGCTGTGTACATTTCAAAACTTCCACTGGGGCTCTCAGGTGCGGTTGACTTCTGCTGGGGGGGGGGGTTGAGCCATGTGCCCTGCCCTCCCCCACAGTCGTCCACTTCTAAATATGTGCACTGCAGTGGCCCACAGTAGCCTTTCCAATTTACAAAGAGCATGATAACATTTTTGCTGGTGATTGACAAATACATCTAGCTGGTCGCTTTGCCATTGAGTAGTCACTTAGATACAGACAAAAAAATGACATTATGTGGAGAAAATGGTGTAATTAACTTTCCTTTTTTTTGGCAACCTAATATTGTTCTTTCGTTTTCCTTTATTTCAGAACACTCAGGTTTTATCTTCATATCAGTGACAAAGCTATTATTTATCTCTTCATTGCTGCTTCCTACACGCCATGGTAAAAAGGATTCCTTAACTATTAAATTACCCAAGATGAACTGCTATACTTGTGCTTACAGTCATGTGGAATAAGATGTAACTCTTGGAGATTGACAGGGGCGGATCCAGGATTTTCCAAAAGGGGGAGGGGGGCGTGATCCCTTATTTTCCAAGGGGGGGGGGTAGAACTCAAGCAGTAATTGTAAAATGCTAGTACCGCTTGGGGCCTGGAGCCATTTTCAATTCTAGGTGCTCTGTGGTGCCATTTTAGGCAGTATGACACTTCCTTTTTTTGTCCTGCCTTCCTTTTCTTCTTTTTTATTTATATATATATATATGGGGTGGAAAAGAAGGGGGGACGTGCACTCCCCATGTTCCCCCTCCCCCTGGATTCGTCCCTGATTGATGAAACCAGCAGTCATGTTTGAGACTCCATGTGGAGCACCTTCACCCAACAAACAGAACGGTACAACCCTCCTTGGTGCTCACTGTAGCTCTTGTATGAAGAAAAGCTGTTGCAGCAAAGTGGCTTGCTCAAGGACACAAGTGCAGTAATCCATGAAGCTGTTTGGAAAGTCCACATTTTGAAAGCAAAGGCTGTAACAAGCTATTATCCTGACGCCAAGTCTCATAGAGTCCTGGACAAACAGTGGCTTCAGTGCAAAGATTTTCACCCTTGCTCATATTTTTGGTTTTTGCCTTTTATCCCGTGAAGGCTGACGCTGAAGAAAGTTGGCATGATTGGGCAGAGTATATTCTGGTTGATCTGGGTCTGTGCCATACTCGGCGTCATCTATTCTTACTGCTTCTATGAAAAGTGAGTGATGCACCGTAGCTGGTAATGTCAGCCACCATCTACTAACCTTTGATGTCAACACATCTTTATTGTGACCTGTATGGTTGATCACAACAAAGTGGTACATCATCGTCACAAGTGTTATAGCGTTACCTTGCCTTATTAACAAAGGTTCACGTTGGTATTTAGAATCTTTGGTTGATAAATATCAAATTTTCCCTACTAACCTCACTCTTGGTGGTGTAAGAAAAAGGTGAATTTAGTGGGTAACAGCGGGATTGGACTAGGAAGAGAAGAATATTTGTCATGGATAACTGAATCCTTGATTTTATTTGCCATTAACATTAATCCCTTCATGTTGTTCACACAAAGTACTGCACAGTAAGTACAAACCATTGGATAGACCTCACCTGTTAGGAAACCCTTTTCAATCTTGTTCCCCGTATCATAAACTTCAAACCATTGAAAAAAGATAGTGCTAGACTGGTTAATGATTGCTGTGTGTTTCAAGCCTTCATTCCAATTTTTTGTCCAAAATGTTGCTGCAAACACTGCAGCACGTTTCATCATACATTTAAAACTACATTGTTCATCTGGTAGATGGTTACTAATTTGTAAGGAAAGTTTCAGTTTATTGCTTCGTTTTTACTCTCAAGCTCCAACAATGAAGAGTTAACCTCGCCTTCAATTTCAACATGGCTGGCTTGTGAAAAACCTCCATTTGTCTAAATATCCTACCGTGAACTCACCTTGCCTTATTTGTCTGCTAAGGCTTTGTCAGATTTGGTGGCTGCAGCTAAAAGTAACCCGTAACATCCATAGGAAATTGATGAAGCCATTAGCTAGCTAGCAACAGCCAGGTAATCTAGGCACAGTCTAACGTAAGATTGAACCACCATTTTACTGTTGCTGATGGCTCAGTCGACACTGATTGTCTTTCTAAACCATTTAATGGTTGAAACATTTTAACCCCCCCTCATCTGTCCTTCTTTGTCTGAAGATACAAACACCTTGAGACTGCCCTCTATCTTCTTCTTGGCATCGGCCCTTCCGTGGCCGTTCTAGATGTGGTGAGTGAGTGTTAATTCTTAGGTAACCACATCACATTTTGATATCAAGGAGAATTAGATGTGCCACTTTATTAGAGACGTATTTTCTCAACCCTAAATCAGAGACATGTTTGTGATGTGAAAGCGAAAACTTTTTAAAACATGTTTAAATGGTTCTTGGAACCAAAATGGTTAGATCATCGAAGAGACAAGGGCCAAATTTCATGGAGCTGCTTAACAGTTAGCAGAAAAGTTCTGCTTACTATACCAACAAAATTTGCTAACCTTAAGCTCAAATTTCATTGTGGTGCTTGGCCTGGTTGTGCATATGGTGTTCATAAACACCTGGAGCTTCTGTTAGTGTAAAATGGTGTTCTGAGCAGCATCTTGAAGTTGGGCGAAGTACAAGGCAGCAGCACTTCCACTCAGTGTTCGGCAAGTTTCTTGCAACTGCTGCTCTCTCTTTTCGAATTCTAGAAGAAAATACATAATTTTGGTTTACTGCATGTAACAATGAATTTGTTATGCCATGTTATAATTGCAAAAAACTGCCCTTGCACAGGTTGTGAGCCAGCAGCAAAGACAGTAAAGGCCTCCAGGAAAGTGACAGGCGCCCCCTGTTGTTCATATTTCTTTTCACAATCTGTCAGCACTGTCCTGTATTATACACTCGCTGCTCAGTCATAGCCCCACTTTGCTCTGTACTGCATTATTAACAATTTGGATTCCCATTTGTGGATATGTCCATAGTAAATTTGGGTTGTAAAAAAGTACAAATACATAATAGTTTCCATTTTCACAGTTTTATTTCCATTATTTTGAAATATTTTTTTCCTTGTGTTTTTTAACTTAACTTTTAATTTACCGTATGTTATTAACTCCATCAAATGCCCAGAGATTGGTTCACCGGCAATGTGTCTGGCATTTTGCAAGAGTCAATATAGTGTTATTCGAAGAAAAAGTGTTTCACATTGTTCTTTGGTGCTTCAAACCTCATAAAAATACTCTTATGCTGGCAAGCACAAACTGTACAGAGTTGTATGAAAAAGCAGTTCATCATATGAATAGAAGGGAACGTTTGAGGGAGGTGCTGGAAGATTACCTTTTCTAAGTTGGTGACTGATTTTACAAATTCTGAAAGAGACGAATTCAAAGAAGTATTTAACAAGGAATCAGTCATTTTGTCCTCAAGCCCTTCAAATTTTTTGTTGAGGTGCAAAGCAAATACGAGCCTGAACCTTCTAATACGGGATTATTGCCTTGAGGTGTATTTTACATATTTAATGAAGAATTTGCCACCCCCTCCTATAAAGTTTTTAACTGTATTAAATGTACAAGGTCTGGGCCCATCCCAACCCTATGGTGGAGATTTGGTTGAGATGGGCTGGAGTAGGGTAAGGATTAGGTTTTGGGGTGTGGCTGGGTGTGGTAGAGATTCAGCGGTATGGGTTAGGATTTGGTAGAATGGAATGGGAATTGGGTAGTGCAGGGTGGGGTTATTTATTTATGTGGGTGAGGATTTAGTAGGATTGGGTATGGACTTAATGGGGTAAGGTTGAGATGAGATGGCACTTGGTAGACGGATGAGTGGGTGTGGATGGGGTGTGGCAGGATGGCACGTAGGTGAAGGTAATGACTAAGTGGGATTGGAGAGGAACTGTTTGGGTGGGTAGGGATATGTTTTGGGTGGATGAGATTTGGCAGCATTGTTTGGCTGATTTAAGGTTTATGCAAGTTCCTGATATGTTTGCATTAGTATGGTCTATGTTTACCTTGAATCTGATCAAATATTGAAACGTTGAGTACATTCCACAAAGCCAACTTTTTTGGAACCACAAACTGTTAAATATAAGCCAGTATATGTGTAGCAAAAGATAGAGAATATACAGAGTTTCACCTGTTTTATTAAATGAATTGATTTGTGTATAAATGTAGAATTATTGCAACAAGCCTGTTGGCTTCATTACCTTATTCATATTTGCACATTGTTGACTTGTTTGTCAGCTGTCAAGGTGTCAGGGCTTATGACACTCTTCTGAACACTATGCAGCATTTGCAGGCTGCAATAGGCAACTTGTAGGCAGTCTTTGTCTGTGATGTGTCCACCTGAAGGTCTACATGTACCAAACAGTTGAAGTTATGGAGGGAAGAAAGGGGGAAAAAACCTGGTCAGGGAGAACTTGAAGCTAGAGTTGGCAGATTTTTACAGTCTACCCACCGGGAAATGTGTGGAGCTACCAAGAAGTAGTCTGGCTAGGAAAAATGGGTCCGTTAGGCTTAGTTCACGTTTGGGAGTAAGCTATTTTTATTTCAATGCCATCTTTGAATACTGAGACCATCAATTTGGCTGATAAATATGTAAGAGATGCAGTGCACATAGCTGATTGATCTGATGGGATACATTTAGTTCATTTCGTTGATTGGGTTTTTACTTGGCATTTATCAATACAGCAATGTTCCAAAGACGGGATATACGAGCTGGCACTGGGCGGGCTGGTTTACGTCCTGGGTGTCATCTTCTTCAAGAGTGATGGTGTCATCCCTTTCGCCCACGCCATCTGGCACCTGTTTGTAGCTGCAGGGGCGGGGCTTCACTTCTACGCTATCCATACGTACCTCATGGGGTCCTCTGGTGGTGCAGAGGCAGGGGAAGACGTGACACAGCCAGTCCACTTCATAGGTTCATTCTGAAGAGAGGTGTGGGAATTCCCCCCCCCCCCGACCTCAATATTATTCTGGGCTTCAAAGATAGACATATTTGAGGTTGTTTCTATTCGTAGGCAGATACCTGAATGATTTCATGATTTGGAAATTGACCCTACGGTTTAACTTTGCTAATACAGTGGTTTTTAACTTCAATCTCATTCTCTGAGGTCGTATTTCAACCTGGTCCTCATGTACGGGGAACAAGGTTGATCACTGACCTGGTTTTCATATGTGCGAAATGGCGCAACTCGCATTTCTCAGGATTACTGACCAAACTAGTTTAAGAGACATACTTGATTTCACTTAATTTCAATGGCAATATGCGATCTGTTGAAAAGGAATCTATATCAAAGAACTACCATCACAAAAGTAACTGTAGGACAAGCAGATATTTCCGTCAGTGTGCAGGTACTTGGCTTGATCAATTTAATTAAATCCATGGAACTGCATATGTAATCACAATGTTACCCCCCAGCCTAGAAAACGTGGAAACACTGGCTCTGTACTCTTTAGGATTTTTGAAAAAAGGAAAATGGACCGAAAAATGCGTGATTGTAGCTGTAACCATTCAAGGTCAAACACAGACATCAGGTATCAACAGAAACAAAATGTTAAGAAATTTTTCTTGGAAAGAAGTTCCCCTTGGAAACTTTTTGCGAGTGATTTCCAGTGATTTCCTTTTCTAGTTGTCAACTATTTCCAGCTGTAACCTAACCAAGGTCCATCCCAATGCATGTTGGGAATGATATAATTTTGATTTGATGTTTCCATGTGCATGCAGCTTTGAATTCTGTATTCAAAGTGAGGTCTCCCCCCATGTTTGGCTAGGTCAGTTTAGTTATCTGGGAAAAGTATCAGTCAGTGTCTTGTGATAATGAGAGCGAGTCACTTGTTTGAGTAATTTAGCTTTTAGTAAGGGGGTCGAAGTCTTATGGTCTGATAGGGTCTGAGTCATAAGCTGGTTAGATCCCAATGGGTGACTTGGAGGCACTAGTGGCAGCAGATATACTGGTCCTTTTCCACAGAATTACGCACGCTCAGAACTAGGCATGCATGCTCAGAACTAGGCACACATGCTCAGAACTAGGCGCGCATGCTCAGAACTAGGCACGCATGCTCAGAACTAGGCGCGCATGCTCAGAACTAGGCGCGCATGCTCAGAACTAGGCGCGCATGCTCAGAACTAGGCGCGCATGCTCAGAACTAGGCGCGCATGCTCAGAACTAGGCACGCATGCTCAGAACTAGGCGCGCATGCTCAGAACTAGGCGCGCATGCTCAGAACTAGGCGCGCATGCTCAGAACTGGTGAAAAAGACTGCTTGTTTGCCACCACCAAGCTTCTCAAAGTCATTTCACGAACGACACCAAAGGTAGTCTTCTGATCCCAGCTCTGGTCTACTTCTGTAGCTGGTTTGGGTGGGTTATTGCGTGTCAGTTCGTCAATATTAGAGTCCAGCTTGGGAGTGAATGATTCTTATGGGGTACGTGGGAATAACTCACACCAGTACTACCCATTACAGCATCTAAAATATAAATAGTTGTACACTTTTGGAAGGGAAATTAAATAGACCACCCCCCACAAGGCCTTTTTGGCTTGTTTCAAATTACTTGTTCTGGTTTCCTCCTTTGTGGGGGGGGGGCAGTGGCCCTGTTGACCCCTGTATCTACTTCTGGTTGCATGTTGCTCCGTTTGAGAGAAATTTAAGAAATGCTTGAATAAATTCATTTTGAAACGTAGTTATTGCGCATTTCTTCAACAGCTCATGAAATTTAAATCTCCTTCATGTCTGTCTCTCAGAGTTCAAGTCACTCATCGTAAGGTTCTTGATTTGTGCTTCAAGTTAGTGACTTGGGCTAAAGTCCAAGGATTTAGGCCATTAAACACCCCTGTCAAAAAAAGGGAATAAAAGTTGACTTGTTTATGAATGAAAACATCATCAAATGTAGTTTTAGTGGTGCTACTTTGTAACTTCTTGAGCACAGAAAAGAAACCACTTAGAATGCACAGCGTTACACCGAGTGTGGTACCAGCGGAAGAATTGTACAGGGTTTGGAAGGTCTGTTTTTGAAACTTTTGGAAACTGTACAACATTTGAAAGTTAATGGTAACAGCACAGTACATCAAGCAGTAAATTGTAAGATTCAGTTCTCTGTAGGCTTATCCTGTATTCCACAGAAAGACGTACATATACAATTCACTTGTGTCCTATAAGTTATTTCAATCCAAGGTATGGTCATGATGCATCTGAGGTTTTCAGTTTGTTGTCATGAGTGTGGGCTGCTCAGTGCCATTGGTAGTTCATTTGCTTAGTCTACAAATGGCGTGTCCTCATAGACTGATTGCGCCAGCAAAGTTACATGACCTGTAGTTGGTATCAGACATCAAAACAAACATGGTATCCTTCCATAGCGAAGTGTTTCATAAGTGTTTTTTACCCCAAAATAAAGCTGATTCTTGGTAGAGTGCTCAGCACATCAGCAGTCTGATTACTGTACAGACCGTCAGCTTTATTTTTGGTAAATGACACTTTTGACACACTCTGATGATGTTTGATACCCACTAAGTCACGTGACTCGCTGGGTGCATTTGGTCTATTACTTGGCTGTGGATTGAAATTGCACATATTCATGAGTCCTTGGTTGTGGCTACAGCCACAGAATCATTTGTAATTTCAAGCCACAGCCCAAAAATTTGGACACAGCCTGCTGTTGGTGTCACTGTCAGGCTACATCCCAAAGTTGTGGCTAGGGCTTGGCTGCAGCCACTTGCCAAAGACACGTGTGTGATTTCCTGCCATAGCCAGCTGACTTAGACACGGCCTTCGTGTAATACAAACCATATGAATATTTTAATATCTACATTAGCTCAGGCATAACTTTACTGTTGCAGGCGTGAAGAGACTTAAAGAACAGTATGTTGTGAAGATGTTAAAACACTACAAAGGCTATATTGTATTGGTTTCTTTACATAGATTATGCAGAAATAAAGATTATGTGGACCAGATGACAATTTTGAGTCACCCAGAAAAATGCAAATACATGAAAGTTAAATATGTACCTGTAGTTCCAAATTAAACTCTTGGCACATGTAACAATCTTGTTTTAAATTACTGACAAGCATCCTTACAGCTTGGCAGGTTTAAATATCCAGACAAATATTTTCGCAAGAATTGTGTTATTAAAAAATGGACTGCATGTTATTTATGTGTCTAGTAGACACAAATGTTTATGGTTTATGGTAAAAAAGAAGTGTACTTCTGAAATACTGGTAGAATTCTGTGTCAAAGAGATTTAACTAAATTCAGCTGACAGTCGGTTTAAAAGAGTAACACGTTTGTTATTGTTTTTAGAAATAGTATATTAAATATTTTAAATGCAATATCATGTGTACGCAATTGGCTAATTAGTTGTATTGAAATTTGAGAAAGGGAAACATGAACGGCTGCAAGTTGAAACTGTTTTCTCCCAGTGAAATATTTCAAAGTTGATCTTGGAAAATGTGGCCCAAGTAGCAATATACAAAATACCTGTCATGGACCCTTGCTATTTATTTGGTAATCTAGTGGTCATCTTGGCCTAATAAATTTTATTTAATCGATCTATTTTGTAACGTTGCTATGACAACAGAGTATCCCCAGTAGTAATTAAGACAAATGCGTCTATGAATATGCATTGGGCATTTATTTGGAAATAAAAAATGTCTTGCCGGTGATTGCAATGTGAATTTATGTTTCATGTTTTCTTTGGCATGTCCTGTGCTGTCAACACTTCAAAGACCATCCCCCTCCTAACCGGAGAGGAAGGGATCATTAAGCCTCATTGTGGAACTTTTGCACGTGCACAAGCAAAGGACAAGGGATTCCACCATAGCTTACTATGCTTTGCTAACACTAACCGACACATTATCCACCTTGAGCAGAAGCACCCCCTCATCGGTTGATAAGAGCCAGGTTGGTCAGGAGTGTTCATTTTCTTGGTAGCAATGCGACCGTAATGCAGGCATTTTTTGGTCTTTCGTGAACTGGCGAAGTCAAGTTCCGACCCAAGGAGCCTCCATTGCTACAAAAATTGTGCCTTCTTTTGGTCAAGCTCAAGGCTCATTATGACATACCTTCCTTTTTTTCATTGACTGTGTATTTTATGGTTACAATTTATCTCTTGACTTGGGTTTTGAGCTGTCATTAATGTGGGGAAATGATTAACATATATTGGACAAATAGAGGGCACTCGTCTACTTACTGTTAAAGTCAATTGCCAAAAGGTAGCCAGCTGTTTACGTATATTAGTCTAAAAATAGGACTGTATCCATGCAACGGAGAGATATGTCTGCAACAACTTAGATTTTTGACTGGTAGAGACGAGTTGAAAAGAAAAAGGAGTTGGCTTTGGAAGGGGATTGGGAAGAAGGTGGTGAGTCTTCATAATGGCGTCTTGTGAACCCTAAGCCACGCTGGTTGGTGCAGATGGTTTGCCTCCTTCCCTGCAACTGCGGGAATGATTATCAATGTGATTCCAATCAAATCTGAATTACAACAAATCAGCACATCTGAAGCTACTGGACGCCTGCTTCTCTTGAGTATTACTCTGGTGTTTGGTGGTGTGACATGTTGACTACGTGCATGTCAAGCCGAGCACCCAGCAGCGCAACCCCGCGCGTACTACATTAAAACTGTCACTTGCTGATCTATAAACTTATAAAAACCATTTTGACATACTGCAAGAATAAAGTAAAAAGGGGGTGGCTTCAGGTGGAGTCATCAATAAAAGGGGGGTAACCCGATGAACCCCTTCCCCCCAGTGTATGGGCCAACTTTATGAAAACCAACTTTCCTAGAAAGTGGGCCTAGCAAAAAGCTGACTTTAATCTGAATTATTTTTTTTAAATACCAATGTCCGGGGTAAAATGATTTCCCAGAAGTGTTATGAATTCCCCCCCCCACGCATTTCCAGTAATAAAGTTGTCACAATCAATGGCATACCTGAGAGCTAATATGGATGACCTACCTGATTAACAATAGAAAAAGCGATAAGCTTAAAAACAGTTGTTTGTTTTGCTTGGTCAACAACAGTTGAAATGATCATGTTTGACATTTGCACAGCACCACAAGAATATAGTGTGCCATATTTCAGTACACTATATAGAACAGTACGTCTAAACTTTCCGGAAATGTATTCATTTAAAAAACGGACTAATTTACAGGCTAAGGCAGTGGGTATAAAAAAGCACTGATGGAACAACCCAAAGAAATGGAACAACCCAAAGGCTATGCTCTCATGTCACAATGGAATAGTCTCTTCTGTCATTCGTCGGTTGCAGGTGCACGTGGCATGTTTGCTGATGACGTAGATGCTCACTGTAAAGAAGCACCACCCAGACAGTCTGGCTCTGTATGTATATAAGCATGTATGTCTAAAAACTAGATCAGTTGGTCGACAAAATACACTTTCGTACAGGCAACCATGTAAGTCTTATAAATATTTTATAAGTTTATGAAATAAAACGTTAAGTTTATAAGTTATTAAATATTTACATTTGATGCTAAAATAATCATCCAAAACAGTCTGGGTTTATGTTATCTGCTGTTCTTTATATATATAGATTAGAGAATTGTAAGAAAAGAAATGAATCCAATAGAAGAAGAAGCAATGGAAGTTGATGGTGCTACAGATGAACCACAACCTATGGAAGTTGGTCGAGAGGAAGTCGACCAACTCGCCCACCCTCATGAAGAAAAACAGCCAGACAAGAAAGGGCTAGACTTCCAGAACATGCCTCCATGGAATAAACAGCAAGAGAGTTTCCTGCAAACAACACATCAGCATCATGAAATGTGGTTGTTGTATTACAATGACCTGATAGCAAGGTATGGGCCTTCTATCAACGGACAGTATCTGCGTCCATGGAATTCAACAGAGCAGGTCTTCCTGCAAACGCAACATCAGTTCCATGACATGATGATGCATTACATCAAACTAACAGCTAGGGAAGGGCCTGATGCCAACCCAATTGCTTGCCCACAATGTGCACAGCAATTTGTACTCAACAATCCCAATGGTCTTTCTGGTATCCTGTTAGCGGATGTCACTGAAGCCCTGGGTGCCATCAATTCTGGCATTTTGATTCGCATGATTGATGACACCACCATGATGTAAACATGGTTTAGTTACTTTCAAAAAAACAAACCCCCCCCAAAAAAAAAATCAAAAAAAGGGGAGGGGGGCCTCTCCATGTGCTGTTACCTTGACGTGGTGGAGAGGCTTGTGTGCTCCCACAACTCTGAAACCTACACTGACAGGAGCTTGGACTCCCCTGCCAGATACTACATTGGTAGGCTTCAGGTTGTGAGGAGCCAGACCAAATACAGCACAAATTTCCTCAGCACAACATACCAACAACTCTGTCCTCCCAAGAAAGAAATTAACAAACCAAACCAAACAAAAAAATAGTGTGGTTCATTTAACTTCAAGAACAACAGACACAGCTAGTTGGGAACTCCAGCTTAACTAGTGACACCATGATAGCTTCAGAAGATTGCCCATACAAGTTTGCCAGGAGATCTATAATAGCAATTGCCTATGGTCTAAATCTTCTCTGTCTATAATTTCCATCCAGAAAAACAGCCAGGTATATGATGACCCCTATAAAGCAAAGACACATAGAGAGCACACAGTGCTGGTCAAGACATAAACCACACTCCTCCAATAAATTGAAGCAGGCAGATTGAAAATTTTGCACAAAACATCCACTAAATTTGTGACATATGAGGAAAATTTGTCCGAGTCAGTCAAAGCCTTGAAGCACGCATACTTCAATTGCAAAAGACATCAGAACAAAAGTGCAGATTTGAATTTTTGTGAAAAAAAACAAAAACAAATGGAGGCTGTGGGGATAATATCAATAACACACTTTTCCTGATTCCTTTTGCAAATTAAATTGCTTTGTATGTAATTTCCTGCAGCCACAGCAGACTTTNGGGGGGGGTGACCCGATGAACCCCTTCCCCCAGTGTATGGGCCAACTTTATGAAAACCAACTTTCCTAGAAAGTGGGCCTAGCAAAAAGCTGACTTTAATCTGAATTATTTTTTTTAAATACCAATGTCCGGGGTAAAATGATTTCCCAGAAGTGTTATGAACTCCCCCCCCCACGCATTTCCAGTAATAAAGTTGTCACAATCAATGGCATACCTGAGAGCTAATATGGATGACCTACCTGATTAACAATAGAAAAAGTGATAAGCTTAAAAACAGTTGTTTGTTTTGCTTGGTCAACAACAGTTGAAATGATCATGTTTGACATTTGCACAGCACCACAAGAATATAGTGTGCCATATTTCAGTACACTATATAGAACAGTACGTCTAAACTTTCCGGAAATGTATTCATTTAAAAAAAGGACTAAGCTACAGGCTAAAGCAGTGGGTATAAAAAAGCACTGATGGAACAACCCAAAGGCTATGCTCTCGTGTCACAATGGAACAGTCTCTTCTGTCATTCGTCGGTTGCAGGTGCACATGGCATGTTTGCTGATGACGTAGATGCTCACTGTAAAGAAGCACCACCCAGACAGTCTGGCTTTGTATGTATATAAGCATGTATGTCTAAAAACTAGATCAGTTGGTCGACAAAATACACTTTTCCACAGACAACCAGGTAAGTCTTATAAATCTTTTATAAGTTTATGAAATAAAACGTTAAGTTTATAAGTTATTAAATATTTACATTTAATGCTAAAATAATCATCCAAAACAGTCTGGGTTTATGTTATCTGCTGTTCTTCATATATGTAGATCAGAGTTTTGTCAGACAAAATCTTCTCAAACGAAATAGAATTTCATCCAATGGAGGAAGAAGCAATGGAAGTTGATGGTGCTTCAGATGAACCACAACCTATGGAAATTGATCAAGAGGAACTAGTCGACCAACTCGCCCACCCCCGTGAAGAAAAACAGCCAGACAAGAAAGGGCTAGACTTCCAGAACATGCCTCCATGGAATAAACAGCAAGAGAGTTTCCTGCAAATAACACATGAGCATCATGAAATGTGGGTGTTGTATCACCATGACCTGATAGCAAGGGATGGGCCTTCTGTCAACGGACAGTATCTGCATCCATGGAATTTAACAGAATTCGTCCTGCAAACGCGACATCAGTTCCATGACATGTTGCATTACATCAATCTAATAGCTCGGAAAAGGCCTGATGACATGACGAAAGCACCATGATGTAAACATTGTGATGTAAATATGGTGTAGTTTCTTTAAAAAAACAAAAACAAAAAAAAATAAAGAAAAAAAAAAGAAAAAAAAAAACAAAACAAAAAAA